AGTAGTTACTCTATTACTTACCCTGCTTTGTCCATTGCTTCCACCGCACCGGTAGGATCGCTATATTTTCTCTCTGTCTTCTCTGTCTATAACTTTGTCTATCAATTTCAGTAATCTGCCTGCAGGGCACTATATCTGCCTTCCACAGCAAAAACGCAATAACTCCATTCAAAAAGTTGTATTTTTTTCCAGCGCGTACTGTTCTATTACAAGAAAATTCCATGCCCATAGGGCTTCATTTTTTCATTTTTAGTTCCAAATGGTATGGCGGAAGTGTATCGAAAAAATTAAGGATGAAGATTTTTTAAGCTTTTTGTACAACAAAATTTTGTCAGAAAAAAATTGAAAAAGTGTTAAATAGGGATACGGCGTTTTTACTTCAGATGGCAGAAATATAGCCAAGAGTCCAGTGACCAGAATCTTTCTCCCTCATCCACGTATGAGATACTTGACAGGGTCTTAAAACAATCGGCGAGAGCTCTGGGCGCGAGGCTGTTTAACAAGTGATTTAGCACCCTTACGGCCCTTACGGTGGATTAGCCCTCGACTCATCCCTAATCCCTGCCGCCAGCCGGAAACGAAGATGATGTGAGAATCCAGGGTGTCCCGAATCATCGATCGCCTCCGGGGGCTCGCCCTGTAACCTACACCCCTGGAGGCCTTTGTTTTCCAAAACTCGGTCAGTTAATTATACCTTATGCTAATCAGCCTCGTCTCCGGTTCCTTAACCCCGGTAATTAATTCCGACGGTAATTCGTCTCAACCGGGATGATTCAGCCCAACCGGTTTTCGCGCAGGGGCCTTTGTTTTTCCGCCGCTGGCTTTTGTGAAAAGTGTCTGTTCCCGCGGAGTTGCCACTTTTGAGCTTTGCTCAATGTCTTGTTTTGAAAACTGCTAAGGTCGAATTTTTGTTCTTTTTTGTTTTTTATTTCATTGTTTTCTTGGGGTTTTTTGGGGTTTTTTGTTTTTTTTTTGGTTTTTTTGGTTTTTTGGTTTTTTTGGTTTTTTGTTTTTTTTGTTTTTTTTTGGTTTTTTTGGTTTTTTTTGTTTTTTTGGTTTTTTTGGTTTTTTTGGTTTTTTTGGTTTTTTTTTGTTTTTTTGTTGTCTTTTAGTTATTCGTTTTTTTTGGTGATTCTTTGAGAGTTTCATATTTTTGGTTAACAAGAAAATCTCTTCAGGAATTGCGCCGAAAACATTTTTCCCCTGAAATTTTCCGTCTGAATTCAGTAGTTTTGTAGTTTTCTTAATTTTTTCCTCCTGAAATTCGGCAGTTTTCAAAGCAGGTCATTCAAACGAATATACCATTCAATGTCCTTTCTTAAAGCCACGCACTTAAATTAATCGTTCAATTGCTTTTTTTAAAAATTTTGAATAATTTCTTTCGTGGCTTTATTTCGGCAAGTTGGATTTTTAAAAATTTACATCCAACGGATAAAAACATTTATCGAGCGAAAATTTTCCATTTTTAGAAAGATGTATAAGCTCGCGTGTCTCGTAAATACTGCACTAAAGGTATATTTGAAAGCTCTACATGGCAACCGCGCTGTCTGGTCCTGCCTGGGACTAACGGATAATTTTTACCAAACGCCTCTATGTTTTTGTTTTAGGTGTCTCTTTTTGTTTTCCGTTTGTTTTCTCCTTCAAGCACTGTCCTGTCCCTTTCATGGCCGCATGAAAGGGATTAGCCGTAATCTACGCTGGGGGCCCTTTACAGCAGGTGAAGATGATGGGTTCATCTGGGCCTTGAATAAAATCATTACCGTGAATTAATTTCTCTTCCGGCCGTGATAGCCCAGGCACAAAAGACGAATTAAAAGTGAACGTCTTAAAAAAGTTGACAAATATGAGCCCGGTTGGATTTATGAGGCAGGACTGTTTCGAGAACCGGATTTCTATGAGCAGAGCCTGAAAACGTGAGTAATTTTTCAATTTTTTTCTGGATTCAACGATTTCACAACTAAAAAACAAAAAAATAACCGATATCTTGCACGTGTGGATGATGAAACTTATACATCCAAAGGAAGATTACAGGACATGAGAACGGTCGTAGGGACACCACACCATAAATATGTATCAATTGTTTCTGAAATGGGCCAAAAATAGTACTTCCCGATTGTGAACTTAAATGCAATTGTCTTGGAGACTCAAACGCAAGGGTAGAAAACTAAACTCTACTCCCTACTAATTGGTTTACTTGCCAGCTGATTTGAGTCAGACAGTAGTTCCTTTTTGCATGATGCATAGTCTGTAATCGGAACAATGTCATCAGGCAAGGCAAAAGTTAAAGTTGGAGATCAGTGCTACTTTTCTCCCTGCGATGCTCTCATACTCAAAAGTTGCGCATGGACAACTTGATTACATTTTGCGTTTAGAAACTACAATTTTGGAATTTACGACCTTCTTCAAATAACCCGGACTGGAAAAAAAAACACATTGGATCTGGAGACTCTGAAAAACATTGAGAAGAAAATGGACTCTTGATTCAATCAGATTTAAGCTTAAATCAAAAGGAAATCCGCTCAAATTAAGAGGCTTGGCTCTTGATGTAAGCTTAAATCTGATTGAATCAAGAGTATTCTTTCTTGTCGATGTTTTTAAGAGTCTGGACTCTAGATCCAATGTGTTTTTTTTTCCCCAGTGTTCTTCAAATAACCCGTTCGTGTAGGTTCTCGTTTACTGTGAGAATCCCCTGATGAAATCCGGAATATTTTGAATTTTCCCTCGTCGCGTAACTTTCCAAACTACGCCCAAAACAAACTAAGCCCATTAACCATGTCGCAACGTCCCTGTGTTGATGTGACCCCGGCTCAGCATCAGTGGCGTGGCGTGAATTGCGATATATCGATGGTTATGCCATTTAAACATATGGTAAAGACTCGATTATTAAGGTGTTCGCCGCGAACACCCTATTTATCGATCTTTTTCCATAGGTTTAAATGCGGCATAACAATCGATACATCGCAATTCACGTCACGCCACTGCTCAGCATCCGTGCGACGGCCACCGATGGCGGAGCCCCAAAGGCCCAAAGGTCATCCGCGTTTCCAGACGCGAAGGGACATTCCCATACGGGACACTGACCGCGAATCGCAACCATCCCTTTGTCCCTCCTCGCGAACCGCGCTCACTCATGTGAGAGAACTCGCCCCGATCCAGATTAAACAACCCCCCTCCCCATTAATTACCGGATTTAGGACCCCTGATCCCGAGACGCGGGAGCCACCCTTCGAATCAAGTCGAAGCTATAGATAGACACCACCTGGAAGTGTATCCTATCGAATCTGAGGTGAGTACCAATCACGACGTTGCCAGGTTTATCGGTTAAAACAAAATCGTGAACAAGGGCAAACAGTGATTCGAGGCCGAATTTTTCAATATTTTTTTTATTTATCTTATTTTCATGAAGAAAATCGCGACGCGGGAGCCACCCTTCGAATCAAGTCGAAGCTATAGATAGACACCACCTGGAAGTGTATCCTATCGAATCTGAGGTGAGTACCAATCGCGACGTTGCCAGGTTTATCGGTTAAAACAAAATCGTGAACAAGGGCAAACAGTGATTCGAGACCGAATTTTTCAATATTTTTTTTATTAATCTTATTTTTATGAAGAAAATCCAACGTTGTATAACATAAATAATATCCTGTGGGCTGATTGTTGAAATTGATAGGCAAAAATATAGAAAAAGATGACAACAAGTATATGAAGGGATCCTATTGGTGGAAGCGGGTGGTTGCAATGGACAAAGGACGTAGGTAATAGACTAACTAACAGCAACCCACGAGAGACCCGATAGCTAGTCCATCATTTACCCCCTTATAGTATGTATAAGAACCACCCATTTCAGCCAACAGAATCGCTCCATACTCCTATGGACTCCATACTTTTTCTATACCATTGTCTATCAATTTCAATAATCGGTACGCTGATCTGAACTTTTTGAGCTACGAATAGTGACAGATTTTTTTTTAAAAATTCGTCAACGTAGTGCCCCAAGAGTTACACGTCCAAAATAAACCATTACCCCCTTCCCCCATACGCCTTAAATTACTCACGTATGTATATCAACTGGACACCCTTTTCTCAAGACTCCGGGCAAAGGGACAGCCCCCCTCTCCCCCCGAAACGTGCTCGGACCCAACGGAGTGACCTTTAATTGCGATACTAGCATGTTCGGTCGGCGAGTAGACCAAACAGGCCGTCTTCCCGGTTGTTTCTCCTTCGGGACGCAAACCTGTCCGCGGCAGTCGTCTGCGAGGGTTCTCTTTACTCGGATTTCACGCATTCGTCTTCCCTTTGTTTGTTTTGGCCGGCGCTTATGGCGACATGAAGGGCGGAGCGAAATCCAGAGAGACAAGTGGTCATTTCTGCACGGAGGGCCGAGCGCGTAGACACCGTGAGAGCAGATCCCGGTTCGGGCCATCAGGTGTGAAAAGGAGCCATTAAACTAATCGGATTTCTCATCGGTGGGTTCCCATAGAGACGGATGACGTCACCTCGACGGATGACGTCCGAAGACAAATCGGGGTAGAGCCCCTTTATGCTGAAAGTAAAAACAGTGCGAATCCATTTCTGATTGGTTCCCGTATTTACACTGGGGAAAAAAAACACATTGGATCTAGAGTCCAGACTCTTAAAAACATCGACAAGGGGAAGTACTCTTGGTTCAATCAGAATCTAGCTTAAATCGAGAACCAAGCCTCTTGATTTAAGCGGATTTCGTTTTGATTCAAGCAAAAATCCGATTGAATCAAGAGTATTTTTTCTTCGAGTAAAATTGTAAAAAAACTCACTTGCACGTAAAAATTAGTTAAATTGCGGACGCGTTTCGCCGGCTCGCAACTCCGGCATGCTCAGCGCGACTCATTTTTTCTTGTCAATGTTTTCACGAGTCTGGACTCTAGATCCAAAGTGTTTTTTTTTTCCAGTGTAGACCTTCACAGTGTCACAAACGGGAATAAAGATTAGTATGGTAGCGAAAAAGAAAATCTAGTACTTACCCTCATTTCTGACTGTGATATACTGTTGTCGGAATAATAACATAGGAGTTCTACGGAGAGAGCATGGCACTGCCTGACTTTGGATGCCAGGAGAAGGCAGACTGCTGAAATTAGCTGCAGTTGCCTTCTGGAGATGTCGCAAGAGCACAAAAATCTATCCAAAAAATTAACAGCTAATGGGAACACCTGGTCCTCGCATCTCTGCTCCTCGCAGACCTGCAACAAACATAAGAGAGACCTTAGTTTTTTCGGGTGTAAAGTATTAATTTTATTTCCTCTTATTTTACAAAGCTTACATATAGCCACCAAAAGGGGCTATTGTAATAGTCAGACATAATTAGACATAGAAAATCACAAATTTGACATTTTCAGACATTTTAGATTAAACTGCGAACAAACTTATCTGAAAAATTAGAGGAATATTAGACACAACTTTCCCCCATAAATTCGCATTTTATTGAAGGGAATTTGGCTACGCCTGAAGGTTCATGCGACGTTTTTCCTTAGTACGGCAGTATTGTAAAATGTACACTTGAAACAACTCAGACATATTTTTTTACAATTTAATAGTTAAATCAGCAATCCATTTTTCCCGCGAGGGTCAATAACCTCGCTTGCAGTGTATGAACCAAGTATAAATAGCTCAATAACACGTAATCATTGACCTAGAAACCCTGGGAAACTACAACTCCCAACATGAATGAATCGGAGAAAAAAGATGTTACGGGGTTGGACCACACATCCAGCGCACCGTTGCAGAGTGCGCTTAAAATCGCATTTCGACTACATTTCTCGTTACCCAAAAAGATCGTCGAAGTTTGAAATCTGGCAACGTAGCCTCCGGGAGGGCTACCACGCGGAGCTATCGGATTTCACTCGAAGGTACTCCACGAAAACAATGCACTTTCTTGCTTTTGGCTCGAAACAATGAGTGTTAAATAATGGCCGGGATCATTATTTCATGCTTTCTGTCGATTTCGTGGATCTTTTTTGGCTCATCAAAAAGAGTGGTGGAGGCAAGAGCTCTGCGGGTGATTCAGATCCGACGCACAGTGGATCGAGTCAATTAGAGAGGTCGGACATGACATTTTTAACTGAAAGTGCAAATTTTGATGTTTAATTCCAGTGCGACCATTTTATTTTATCAAAAGAATCCGAAATAATCCAGATTTCCGGAAACATATTCCGATTTGCCAAAGTTCCGAGAAAAATTCCGATTTACGCCCAGATTTAGTTCCGGAGATTGGCAAAAGTGCTCAAAAAGTCCTTAAATTTGATCAAATAAATTGTCAAACTGGCGAAAAACCGAGAACTTCGAAAAAATTCCGGGGATTCAGAGGATTCCGCGAAAAGTTCCAATTATTTGAAAAGTTCCGAATTTCGGAATTAATTCCGGGAAATAGCCGCTAACACACGTACACTCCGAACGTACATTCTGGCCTACTGCGCATGCGCGGGCATCGCGAATGTACACACATCATTCTCTTGGAAAAGAATGTACAGTTTGACGAGAAGAAGGATCTTTTACTCATTCCTGTGACTTATAGTTGTTCAAGAGAACAAAATGAGGAACATTCTCGAGGCCCGCGCATGCGCAATAGGCCAGAATGTACATTCGGAGTGTACGTGTGTTAGCGGCTAATGGCAGCACCGTAGTTTGTCACATTTTAAATTATAAGGGGTGCTTCTGCTAGAAAATTTCACGACGAAACCAATGGGACCATTTTTAGAACCTTAAAGTTTTGTATGATCGGAGTTATGAGCTTTTAAATTTTCCAAATTTTGTCCGACCGCTCTAGTTGACTCGATCCACCGTGCGACGGGATGTCCCGGCGCGAATCCCTTTCATCCGCCAATGGGTGTGAAGTGTAAACACCGCTACCGTGATTCCCGGAATCCTGGAATCACAAACTCTCGTGTTCATTGAAGACCACTCGATTGAAGGATCGACTCTTTTCACCTTCAGACGGAGACATGACTTGCAGAAAGTTATCGTGGGGCCAATACTGCTGAGCTGCTAAGGAGAAACGCCGTGTGAACTATCGAATGTTGCCGGGATTCGTCCGATGAAATATTTGATTTTGAAAAATTACGTTGACTACGATTTCGAAGGAATTAATCAAGTCTGGCTGAGAGTCTACAACGCCGCAAACGGAAATACGTTTTCCCGCACTTTAGCTATCGATATTTTTCCTTAAAATTTTCAGATACCGATAATAGATTTATACACACACATACATTCAGCCGCTTTTATAGCGCAGCCTCGCGCTCTGCGACGCCAAATCGCCATTGCCCCCTGTCCTCCCAGAGAACATAAATTTTTCCTATATTTTTGATGTGCGAAACAAAATTGCAAAAAAATCCGAGGGAAAATTTACAATTTTCCCGGAAAACTAGAATACAATAGGCAGAAATTTGGCGGCGTCCGGCTGGTCATTCGGCGTTTTCCTTCCTTATGGTAGAACAGAGTTGCCTTTTTCGCGAACGCAGCTTTTCGCCACGCACGCATCAACCCGCGAGGCAATGCAATGTGACGTCATTATTTTTCTTACAATTTTACACCCGCATCGATTCCAGGTACTAGTGATTTATCCAGGGCGTTAGCACCGCGTGGCTGGTGACGTGAGCGTAATGTGATTTTAACGCAAAAAAATTAATGTCCGCGGACGTTGACTTCGTTTCGGACGAAAGGACGTAACTCGACGTTTCAAATTCGGAAATTTCCCCTAGAAAATTGTAGTTTTAGTGAGAAATTGTTGAGCGTTGCGTTGAAATCTTACCGATGTATCCTACGGATTGAACGTATATATGAATCGGCGACATTTTGGAAAGAATTTACAAAGTCATATTGCTGTGAAAGAACTCACCTGTCCAAGTCATTTCTTCTACCTTGGAATGAAGTTACAATATTTTGTAAACCGTATGTAGGTAAAATATAGGAGCAAGCCTCGAATATCTTCTGCGCAATAAGCGTTTTTTGGTAAAAGGGCATATCGGTCATCAATTTATAAATGCAATTTCTCATTAGGTTTTCCTACATGCTATATGCTTAAAATTTTGGCTAGTGTTGATCAAAGGCGGTACCTGTAACCAGGTTTTTGAAATATTAAAAATTAGTCGAATGAACAAAAGATAGTACGATGTTGAGTTTCCCTCATAACTGAGTTTTTTCCTAAGAAAAACGCAATGAACGCTAAAAAATTAGGTGGAGAAATGGTGCTGGATCCATACCAGTTCGCGGGGAAAATAAAACCACGAAATTCCAAAAATAGGAGCAAACAATTTTTTGACTCTCATTGAAAAATTCTTGGAATTTTTTTACTTCGTTTTTCTCGCGAAATGGTGTGGACCCAGCACCATTTCTCCACCTTGTTGAGTTTTTTCCCCATTCTCCCTTTCACCGAAAAATGCCTCAACTGTTCGGGTCAATTCTATAAACTCACTGGAAAAAAAAAAAAAAAAACACATTGGATCTAGAGTCCGGACTCTTAAAAACATCGACAAGAAAAAATACTCTTGATTAAATCAGATTTACGCTAAAATCAAGAACCAAGCCTCTTAATTTGAGCGGATTTCCTTTTGATTTAAGCTTAAATCTGATTGAATCAAGAGTCCTTTTTCTTGTCAATGTTTTCAAGAGTCCGGACTCTAGATCCAATGTGTTTTTTTTTTTTTTTCCAGTGCTTGGAATTGAGTTACGTCTGGGATTTGACGAATTTCGTGCGATGATAATCTACTCCGGAAAGGAGTCATTCGCGAGCGTGACCCATATTTGGACGTATTTCTACCAAAGAGACCTATGTGGCGATGAGAAATGTGGGGTGTGCTCGTGGAAGCTGCATAAGAAGTAATGTAAAAGTGGGCGTGGTTCCTTTTGAAGAATTGGAAAAGCGGGATATTGCATTCTATCAAAGAGACCTATGTGCAGCTGAGTGCGGAACTCATGAGCCGCGGGCATGACAAGAAAGCGTTGTGGACAGGGCTCATGAGTTAAAGCGCCCCGACGACCATCTCCCCGACTCGCGGGCGTCATCATTGCCGCTGACGTCACTGGCGCACAATTATTCTCATTCACTCTTACGCAAAGAGACTAACGAGCACACCCCATATTTCTCACTTCCACATAGGTCTCTTTGGTAGAACTACGTCCATTTAAGACCAATAAATTCGCGTAAATCCACGAAACGATGCGGTTTGGAAACGACTTAATTGGCACATCATGCGCGGGTCATTTTCATCGGGGCAGGGCTGAGGTTTCCGAACGACTCAATCTTCCGAGGATCCTTGTTTTGATTTTCGAGTCGGGACTCGGGATTTGAGGTATGATCACAAACCCCCCCCCCCCCCCCCNGGGCGTCGGGTTTCGCCCAAATTCGGGGCTGCGTCCGGCCGCCGCCCCCGCCCCGGAGGTCCAGGAGTCAAATTTCGGAGAAAGCCCTTTTTCGGGAGAGGAAAGGCCCCGTCAGTCCCGGATGGACGGCCGTTTTTTTACAAGAACACGCGCCGACGTTTCCGCCTGATTTCCGCTCCGAGATCCGTCCGCCTCGGAATGACCGTTATCGCCGAGACCTGGCCGCCAAATTTTGGGAGGCAACTCGCGATTTTCTTCGAAATTATTCGAAATATAGATTAATGGATAACAATCTCCGATCTCCGACTCTCCCATAAAAGCGCGTATCTGCATAGTGAAATTGGATTGCATTTTGCAAAAAGGAACCACTAGCATTGCAATGTTGCTAAGATTGTTCAACTTCTTTTGTCTTGGAGGAAAATCCGATTATCCATAAATGGTTTCTATTTTACTCGCTAAAAACTGTAAATTTAAGACAAAAATACCATCTAAATTTCATAGTATTTCACGATTTCCGCAATTTTATTGCAAAAGATGAAGTTGCACAATCTTAGCATCATTGCAATGCTAGTGGTTCCTTTTTGCAAAATGCAATCCAATTAATGGAATGTATGTTGTTTCTAAAATGAGCCGGAAATAGTGGTTCCTTATTGCAAAATGTAATCCTAATGATCTTTTAAAAAAACACGAACTGAGAGGCTTGGAGGACAAGGCGTGCAAGCGTAATTTTTTTTAAAAAAAAAAAATCAGATATTAATGATTTCAAGTATGAAACTAGTCTCAATACATATTCTGTGAAAAATTCGCTCCCGAAGTTCAATTTTTAAGCACCAAAAAGTCAGTTAGAGCTTTCTTTCCGCCATAC